GTGGCCGTGCATTTCAATGGGCACGACTGAAACATCAACGCAAACAGTCAGACTCTGGGTTGAACCTCCAGAGAGTGCAGATCTGTTTGAACTTAAATCGTAGAAATAAAGCACCAATTATCCCTCTAATTGGGTCTAACGGAGCTGGCTGCCTGTTGTGCTTGCTCCCGTGTTTACTGTGCATCTTCAAATCTTCAATTTGAGGGCTGTAATGAGTTCAATTAATTAGCTGTGAGAGGGGCGATTCAGGAGCCGCAGCTCACTGTGGGAGGCTTTGGAGCTCAAAGGAATGAGGTGTTTACCCAGAACCCAACACCAGAGTTCAGAGTCACGTCTTGAGCAGCAGTCAATAACAAACCTTTTTGAATTGTAACTGATATTACCATATGCTGCGACACAGTCTTTTATGTCTGGCTTCAATAACAGGGACTACGTAATTTGGTTCAATTATAAATTCAATGACAGTGTTCAACACAAACGCATTGTTCCTTGGAGGTAGGCAGAAAAAGATAGAAAAAAAAACAAACTCTGAGCACGGTTTTACACATGCAGGTAGCAGCAGTAGAATATTATTCCTTAAGGCCTATAATATTCCTATAATAAAAGGAAAATCAGGAATATTTGCGAAGAAAGGATAAAAAATTCATTAGAAACATTGGAAATGGGCTAGCATCTTTGCCCTAAAGGGACAACAGTAAATTGAAAGTTGGTCTCAATAAAAAAAAGAAGAAGAAAGAAAAAATTGCATTACTGCCTTACAAAAGAAATTTATTGGCAAAGCTCAGAGGAAACTGGGAAAATAAGAGAAAATGTCAAAAGCAAGATCAATTATTTAAAGAGATTTTTTTAAACACTGTGGCTTTTCCTTTTTTTCCCCCACAAATGCATGATGGGAAGGTTGAGACAAAAACGTTTTCTCATAGTTTCTCAACAACGCAAATCAACTGTGTATTACAGCCAGAATAGGTGGACGGATTATTGGCTGAATTATTGGACAATGTGCAAGAAACTTCCTCATATGTTTATTTAATCTGCTTGAGACATCGTGAAAATCTCCCTGAGCCCGAACAACGTAACATTTAACGGACCATAAACTCCCGAATGTACTCTAAAAGTAAATTTAGTTTCCGGCCAATGTAAGAACATACTTAGCATCTTAACAAGCTAAAAACAAACACTGCAAGAAAAAAACACATCTTCCTTAACGCCTTCATGTGCATCAGTGAAATGAGTCGACCATAACTCCAGGTACTCTAAAGTACTGTGGTACTTTGGGGAATTTATTCAGGCTGAGAATATGATGATGATGCAGGAAGATGTTTGGAGAGCGGGAAGTTCCAGCTGAGCTGCAAACATTGAATGTGGCCTGTGTTAAATGTTGCCTCGGGGAAGGCGAGGAACGGCCATCGCGCTGCTGAATAGTCATCACTGCAACAATCAAACCCATTAAGTACTCAATTAGTTGCCAGGCTACGGGCAGAACAGGATCACGGCGGGGTAAGTGACTTGACACAAAATAGTCCGGCGAGTTTAACGTTACATGAAAAAGAAAATGTGAATCTACTTTTTATATTCCCATTATACAAATCTTTTTAAGAGGAATTCAAATTTTAAATTTCTTTTTCCCCAAAATCAAATTTTAGGTTGCAGTTACCCCAAAATAAGACAGTGACAGGTAAAACAGTGGTAAAACCGTTTGCCAATAATTATTGCGATCAATTTCGGCAAAAAAAATACGCAAAAAATATTAAAAGTAATTAAAGTTCAATTTCGGCAAAAGAAAAGCGCAAAAAATATTAAAAGTAATTAAAGTTAATTATAGGTTTACACACTCTTGTAAACCACACTGATAACAATTAACAACTACAACCAAAAGTTTCTTAAACCAGAATTTCTAGTCTTTTTTTCATAACATAACCACATTAACCTAATAAAAACCCATCACACGCTTGAAATCCCATCTCTGCTGCAGTTACAACGGGAGGCCACAGACAAACGGTGCCAGTTTCCACCGCAGCGGTCCAACTTCTGTCATGGTCTTGTAACCTAAGACAAAGACATGAAAACTCATCCCATCCACTTGTACCAAAACAAGCCTGGAGCGTCTAATAGCAGCACGTCTGAAGCATGACAGCTATGTGGTTTCCTCACAAGCGCTCCTTTCTATTTCCCTGCCTCATTGTCTTGCACACCCCTGCTTCCCCTCCTCTGTGGTCTCCTGATAACCCCCGTCTCCCCTCGTGCGGTCTCACCCTTATCTCAATCTTCTCCTGTCACACACCACCTCGTTCTGTACCTGCTTTTTTCGCTGCCTACCCCTTTATTAGGTGAAGCGCCAGAGACAAGACAGTGGCTGCTCCCCACAACAGCCCACCCTGTGTTCACTGCTGTCGCTGTTTACCCTTCTGCAGACGGCTCTCACCACGAGGGAGACAAAAAAAAACAACCTCACACTCACAGAGGTCCCTTTGTTTCTCTATACACTCTGCATACCTGACCATCTGTGTGTAGGATTTGTTGTTATTGAATGCAAATTAGTTGGGTCAACACACTTGAGCCTCATGCAGCAGAAGGAAAGAGCATGAATCTTCCTACATGTACAACAGTTAGGACTTCGTTCACCCTGACAATGGTATTTCATTCCTTTCGAATGCTCATTACTGCGCTACACTTTTCCCTAATATAGTGTTTGTCAACATTAGGGTTGCAACCCCGTGTGGGGTCGCCTGGAATGTCCACTAAGTGATGAAGATAACGGTCAGGGACCACTGCCTTAATATGCTAAAAAAGAAGAACACTCATAAATTATTTGAATTTTAATTTATGTAATGAATAAATAATGAATAAATAAGTGCATTTAAAATGAAAAAAGAGAAAAATATTCATATTAACGTGAAGAGATAACTATCAACTAAAAAAAGTTTTGATCCTATATGTACAAGTATTAAACATGGATCAAAGACTGAAAATGTAATATGTTAACACTAAACATGTTATTATTGTTATCAAAGTGCTTTGAATGGCTGAGCCCAAAGTGTTGTAACTTTAATTCCAATGCATCTGATGCTAATAATACAGGTATGGAACATCGTACTTCATATATACTGCTCTTAAATCCACAGTAAAGTATACACGGGGGTGTACACAGACATTTGTTCACGGTGCAAAAGCAGATGGTTAGGAAAGCCCACGCACAGAAGCCCAGGACAAATTGGCTTCCTTTTTGTTTTTCGCTACTCTTAGATTATACAGCACAGAAAACACAGGGGTGACCCACCAACCAGCCAAGCACTGCAGGATGGAGATATCCACAGTGCTGTTCATCATGCAGAGTACCAACAGAAGTGCAGCACAAAAAAAAAAACCCTCGCTTCTCCTGCTCAGAGTACACATGCTGCCCACACCGTGAAGTACACTCCTGTTATGAAATGTTTAATGTAACTACGACTAATTCCAGTCCAGTAACAGAGCAGGAGCAGAGGAATGGGTTCATCACCGCTGGAGAAATACATGTCAAATATAACAGAGTTATCAGCTAAAAGAACCAGAGTCAAAAGATTGAATCCAATTATCATACTTCACACTGTGTTATTAATTGTTATATCCACTTTAAATATTTATATATATATATATATAGGTAGATAGGTCTACTGCTGAGCTCCCCTGAACTGAACATTATTTTAAACACTGTAATTACCATAAAATTGCTATTCTCATAGAGCAAGGGAAAAAGTGGGAAATACAGAGATTCTTTTTATTTACCTCGCTGTAACCCCCCCCCCTTCCCCCTCTTTCCACTGCAAAAGCCCCCAGCTGCTGCCCTACAGCGTCTTGCTTTGTTGGGTGATTATAGTATTGTAGGCCAGGCATGTCCAAATTCTGGCCCAGGGACCAATTGCAGCCCGTGGTCAAATTTTATACAGCCTGAAGCATCTGTCTCAAAATGCATCACTTGTGGCTTGAGTTTTAATACACACAGATTTCAACTTCCTGGAGTTTCTTTTTTTACTAAAAAAAATTATAACCTCATCCTCTAGGCGGGTTGGACTAAGATTTGTCAACATGTGATGAAATAAGAATATGCAGTTAGCAAATACATTTTCACAAAATATTTAATCTGCATTGCATGTTGATGGTTCAAAGAATGACAGAGAATTAGACCGTGTTGACTTCATTAATCTTTGATAAGAGTTTGGACAATCAATGAATGAACGAATTAATGAATAGTTTACACACAAATTGTCCAGTCTTAGGATGTAGGTCAAGGTATTTAAATTTAGAATTATTGCCTTGACAAATGTGACATACAGAGAAGGCTGTTCATTTTAAATGAAAACAGGAGTCTGCCAAGATGACAGCTCTGGACGTACAAATGTTTTTAAATGAGTCAGATCACAAGGCCGTCTCCTGGGCAGCTTTTCTCTTATTTTTGGCACTACTGACTTTAGAGTTGATTCATGTCGGGGCTCTGGCTGCATCATTCCAAATCTTTTATCTCCTGATCAGTGGAACATTTTGGACAAACATTTTCCATTGACATTCCACATCAACTACAACCTAGTTTTGGGAGACATTCAACCAGAAGCTGGAAAGATTTAAAATGTGGTTTTATGGTAGAGGTAATGTCACAGACCCGCACCACTTCCCACTTATGAGGCAAACAGAGCATCGGTGGTGAAACACTGTTTCTTCTTCTGCATAAATTCATTATTTGAATTGTGATATATAAACATACATCTACGTGTTATTGTTTTGTCTTTCTGTTCCATCAACACAGAGAAAAATACGTTTTTTTCCCCTTAAAAATTAGGAAAGTTGATTATATCATTAATCATGATTATTTGTGATTAATCACTGGCCTGCGATTAATCAAATCAATATTTTAACCATTTCACACCCTTTATGAAATCATCAGAGATCAGAGGAGACGCGCCGGAGCAAAAGTAAAGTGCAGAGGGGGGCAAATTGGAACGAGCTGAGAGACGGAGATTTGAGGTTACCTTCAGTAGGGTTTATAGCTGCTGGTAAGCTGTCCCACGGGAGGGTCCAGGAAGGGCACGGATGAGGAGTGTAGATAGCCTCGATGCCTTTCTCCTGAGGGAGAGACACACATATGCTGGGGTTACCATAGAAACTGAAGTTGAATGCCTGAAGTAAGGTGGTCCTAATGGTTGTAATGGGGCAAATCACTAAGAGGCTACGAGTGCCTTCTTGGCCCTGAAGATATAATTATGAAGATATTTCTGGTAAGAAAATGAACGACTTTTACAACATTAAATATTTCTCCAGGTACATAGGTTTCATTCTTGTATTCCGGTTAGATAAAAACAGCATAGGAATACTGAAGTGGACTTATTCATTTTTGTCACAGTCGGTAAAAAGGCCATTATATTAAGTACCACAGCGGCTGAGCTCCTGCCTCTGTTTCTCCCTGGTGAGTAGGTTTCCTCTAAGTAAAACCAAAGAGTCCTGAATAAGGTTCATTGGAGACTCTTAATTGACCATAAGCTGTGAAGGCATGTAAGTGGTTCTTTGGTCCAGTGATGGATCGGTGACCTTTACTGGCTGCACCAACCTATTGGCTACAGCTCACCCACCGACTATGAACTAGATAAGGTGTGAAAGGAAAAATGGTCACAGGTTTAAATGAATGCAAGATTTTGTTTCATGGAAAAATATGTGGTTTTATCTGGTCTTCACATCATCCCTGGTCTGCTCTAGTCTGTACAACTGGCTGTTATGACAAATATATGATGTTTTTTAGCTGCACTTATTATGGATTATCGATGTTTATTTCAGCCTTTTATTTTAGTATTACTTTATTTAGTGTTTCAATCAAACTGTCAACTAATCAAGTTTGGTTTGTGTCAAGCTTTTTTTTTCACTCACCTTTTTGTTAAATCTCTTAAATCATAATTAATTTAATAAACTTTTAGGTTTGACTGATGCCATAATGTGGCAGGTTTAGAACTATTAATTATGTTTTGCATAAAGGAAAAATAATTACCTAAAAACACAGAATCCCTGAAATGCTCTACATACTGTGAAGAGCGGCTCATTCTAAGGACCCAGTTGATTGCCCTCTTGTATTACACAATTAATTGTCAACACATATAATTAAGGAACAATGTGAAGAGGTCTGTCTGTCACTGCGAGTCTTCACTGCTCAGTTATTTGAACTTTTCACATTGAGATTCATTAAGTGTGAATATGAAGAGATGTTTGTATCATTATGATTGATGGATTGACTTTTTTTTGTATTTTTAGGTGTAAAACAAATCACTAACTAAAATAAAAATAAATACAAAAACAGACTAGAATTAATTACCAATAATGAAAACAAATGAAAACAATATTTTTGGGGGGAATAACCATGTAACCACCTTCATCTAAAGTCTTTTTTAACACAGTACTGTATAAATACACTGTAGTCAATACAGTGGACAGGTGTTCCAGAGCTTTTGTTGTGTGGTGGTGGTGTGTGTGTGTGTTTGGGGGGGGTGTTGATGGTGATGGGTGACTGAATGCTGCTACTGAAAAATGACACTCACGGAATCCTAAAAACATGTTGTTGAGTCTGATATTGTGGAGCAACAGCAGACGGCAGTTTTCATCCTGTAATCTGCAGTCGCGGCCACAGTTCGGTTTACATTTAGTTCACAGGTTGTGCGTCCACACATCACTGCACAGGCGGTTTGAACAGCACGCACGAGTGTGTGTTAACGGAAGTGAGCCAGAGTTTATGATCCATTTATATGGTTGGTAGTGTAGGGAGATGAGCCCTCCGCCTCCAGTTAGCGGCATTGATGGATTGCATGTCACCGTGTCAGACGTTGCACTTCTACTGGCAGAAACATGCAGCCACATAAGAGCTGGTATGAACAGACACACAGTTAGGCGGGGGCAGTACAACAGCTGCACCGCAGACGTGACGGTGGCGACATGTAGCTATCTTTGTAATCCTCTACACAGATAAAAAAGAATGGTGTCCATTGTGTGTGTGTGTGTGTGCGTGCATGCCTTTCTCTCAGTTTAATGGCTGATTTTAAAAGTGCCATTAAAGACTGTCATTTGAGCACATCTGTGGCCGTCTGACTAAAACTCATCCAGCGCCTTGGCACATCCCCTCCTGACCACCCGCCTCATTCCTCCTCGGTCAGACTCACTTTTACTGCCGTCTCCTTTCGCCTCGCTCACTTCCTCTCGCTCTCTCTCTCCACGTCACTCAATTACAGACTGGTATTAATACTCAGCCAACAGGAAATCACACAAACATATTTGCTGAGAAGAGCAGAGGAACACGGCCAAGTGTATAGTGTAAAGGCTGAGCAGTGAAAGGTCAGCGAAATCTCAGCAAAATTTTACAGTAATGACTTGTTCTGGTTATAAAAGTCTGTTTTGCTGGACTGGATTTATCGTTTTCATCATTTTAGAAATGAGGATAGACTAAATGTGCATCGTCTGAATTACTAACAGGATCCTGTGAGACAACAGACCTGAGTTTTTAAACTCATAGGCTGATTATTTTACTTTTTAGGGAAAGGCCAGCGTTTACGCAATTTTGCCCAGGCTGATAAATACACGTCAATCAAAACCTCCAGGGGGAGACATTCACATTAAAAAAAATTTAAAAAACAACTGTAAAACAGCCTTCTTAAAATGTTAATCCTTTAAGTGAAAGCACTTAAAGTGTTAACGCCGTGACAGGAAAAGCAAAAGTTTGACAATTAACTAAATCTGCCACGAGCAAAAATAATACCAGAAAACTTCACTTCTGAAGGTTGAATTAGCAGGAAAAAAAACACGAACCGATGACGTGTGCAAAATAAGAACTGCGGTTTTGACAAATACTGACAGGTTCAATGTGATGAGAAAAATATGAAAAATATGTACTTTAAGTTTGGTCATGGTGGGCCTGGGCCCCCCGACAAAAGGGAGCTGTGTGGTCACATCCTGGATTTCTTCAGGCTCCAGTAGGTTAGCAGTGCTGAGCTCTGCTGATGGTCCTGGGAGTTCGACCGTGGGAACTTGGGCAACAGAGAGATCCATCCCACAATCCTTGGCAGCTCGAAGGACACCTGGTACGGCTTGGACACGGCTGTACCATCGCAGCAGATGAGAGAGCTGGTGTAGGGTGCCTGCAGCATGAACTCGGAGGGAACACTGTCAAGGACGGACAGAGGAGTTAAAAAAGACAACATTGATGATTTATTAGGAGTCAAACCTGAGGTGTCATCTCTAACTGAGCTTCACTTTGACTTAACGTGCTCATCTGACTGCTGGACAGACATACATACAGAGTAAAAATATCAAACCAGTGGCAGATAGGTAGAGGAAGGACAGAAAGAGAGACGTGATAACAGAAACCCTGTCAGTCTGTGTGACAGTGTGTGGAAGACAGAGGTGTAAAAAAAAAAAAAAAGGGCGACACTCCGCAGCAGGATTCCACGTTGCTCCAAGTGTCATGGACAGTGACTGGTGTTCAGCGGAGACACGCTAGGCTGAGTGTGAAACTAAAAACCACTGGAGCACAGCTGACTAGTAAAAGCCTCATTGTGAGAACTCCCGTTTATTCCCACAGTTAAGGAATAGCACGGAGACGACCAAACGGTGAGATAGAGGTCGTGATCCACTCCACTGACAGATGGTATAGCTCTCCTAATCAATAATAATACACCTCTGAACAGAACAGCCTCGGAAACCCCCCTCCTCCACTGCATTTACTTCAGTTCCTGCTACTGTATTTAATTCTAATAAGAAAATAACCATTGGTAATGGTTAATTCATAAGCC